GATTCTCCCCGGCACAAACGGATTCCCAGCTCGGTCTGTCCAGGGCCGAATGCTCTTTCAGAAACGCTGTGGTTTGCAGTTTCTCCGGCTTTCCAGAAAGACTGGGACCCAGCGAGAACTCGAGCGCGCAATGGGAGGGAGCTGCGCACGGAGCCGCGGGGCTGGCCGGCTGCAGGTACTGTTTCCATTCCTGCTGCCTTTGTTCTACCGCGCGCTCTGCGAGCCCATCCGCTACGCGATTCCCGAGGAGCTGGCCAAGGGCTCGGTGGTGGGGAGCCTCGCCAAGGATCTAGGGCTCAGTGTCCTGGATGTGTCCTCTCGGAAGCTGCGAGTTAGCGCGGAGCAGCTGCTTTTCAGTATAGACGCGGAGAGCGGGGACTTACTGGTGAAGGACCGGATAGACCGTGAGCAGATTTGCAAAGAGCGAAGAAGATGTGAGTTGCAGTTGGAAGCTGTGGTGGAAAATCCCTTAAATATTTTTCATATCATTGTGGTTGTTGAGGATACTAATGACCATGACCCTCAATTCGATAAAAAGGACATACATTTAGAAATTCTTGAATCTGCATCCGTAGGTGCACGAATATCCCTTGACCCTGCCACTGACCCCGACATAAACATGAACTCCATTAAAGATTATCAGTTAAATCCTAACCCTTATTTCAAGTTAATGGTTAGAGTTAATTCCGATGGTGGCAAATACCCAGAGTTATCTTTGGAGAAACCCCTGGACCGGGAGGAGCAGCGGTCTCATCACTTGATATTGACCGCCTTGGACGGAGGGGAACCCCCACGAAGCGCCACGGTTAGAATAGAAATTTTCGTCAAAGACACCAATGATAACCCCCCTGTGTTCAGCAAAGAGGAATATAGAGTCAGTGTAAGTGAAAATCTGTCCCCTGGGTCCTCCGTGTTGCAAGTGACAGCCACGGATCAGGACGAGGGCGTCAACGCGGAAATAAACTACTACTTCAGGAGCACTGCTCAGAGTACGAGGCACATGTTCTCACTGGATGAGAAAACGGGCATCATTACGAATAGCCAGTCATTGGATTTTGAGGATATGGAAAGATATACCATGGAAGTGGAAGCAAAGGACGGAGGTGGTCTCTCTTCCCAATGTAAAGTAATCATAGAAATCCTAGACGAAAACGACAACAGCCCAGAAATCATCATCACTTCTCTCTCTGATGAGATTTTGGAGGATTCCAGTCCAGGATTGGTTGTGGCCCTCTTCAAAACACGGGACCCGGATTTCGGAGGAAATGGAGAAGTCACATGTAATATACAAAGAGATGTACCTTTCAAGATTTACTCTTCTTCTAATAATTACTACAAACTGGTGACAGATGGGGCCTTAGATAGAGAACAGACCCCAGAGTACAACGTCACCATCACAGCCACCGACAGGGGCAAGCCGCCCCTCTCCTCCAGCACCACCGTCACCCTGCACATCACCGACGTCAACGACAACGCGCCGATTTTCCAACAGTCAGCCTACCTGGTCCACGTGCCAGAAAACAACCCGCCCGGGGTCTCCATAGCCCAAGTCAGCGCCTCCGACCCCGACCTGGGACCTAACGGCCAGGTGTCCTACTCCATCGTGGCCAGCGACCTGGAGCCCCGGGCGCTGTCGTCCTACGTGTCGGTGAGCGCGCAGAGCGGCGTGGTGTTCGCGCAGCGCGCCTTCGACCACGAGCAGCTGCGCGCCTTCGAGCTGACGCTGCAGGCCCGCGACCAGGGCTCGCCCGCACTCAGCGCCAACGTGAGCCTGCGCGTGCTGGTGGGCGACCGCAACGACAACGCGCCGCGGGTGCTGTACCCCGCGCTGGGGCCCGACGGCTCTGCGCTCTTCGACACGGTGCCGCGCGCCGCGCAGCCAGGCTACCTGGTCACCAAGGTGGTGGCGGTGGACGCTGACTCTGGACACAACGCCTGGCTGTCCTACCACGTGCTGCAGGCGAGCGAGCCGGGGCTGTTCAGCCTGGGGCTGCGCACGGGCGAGGTGCGCACGGCCAGAGCTTTGGGCGACAGGGACGCTGCCCGCCAGCGCCTGCTGGTTGCTGTGCGCGATGGAGGACAGCCGCCCCTCTCGGCCACCGCCACGCTGCTCCTGGTCTTCGCTGACAGCCTACAAGAGGCCCTGCCCGATCTCAGTGACCATCACACACCCTCTGACCCCCAGGCTGAGCTGCAGTTTTATCTGGTGGTGGCCTTGGCCTTGATCTCCGTGCTTTTCTTGCTGTCAGTCATTCTGGCTGTCTCCTTGCACCTCCGTCGTTCCTCCAGCCCGTCGGCTTGGGGCTGCTTTCAGCCTGGTGTCTGCTCCAAGTCTGGACCTGTGGTTCCCTGCAACTACAGTGAGGGAACACTGCCCTATTCCTACAATCTGTGCGTTGCCCAGGCTGGAAAGACAGAGTTTAATTTCCTAAAATGTAGTGAGCCCTTGCATTCGGAAATTCAAGACATAATTTGCGGTGATTCTTCTGGGGCCTTAATTCCACTTCAGAGTGGGAATGATTTGACTTCACATCCTGAGACCCTAACACCGGTGAGTTTCATTTCTGTGTCTCCTGTAATAGTCTACTAGTTTCTCATATTTCAGGCATACTACTTCATTTTTATATCTAGAATCATTTTTAGAAAATCCAAACTTGGGATTAGCCCCAAGACCTCTTCTCTTCTCAGTGTTCACTTTTGGCTGATTATGTTTTTCAAGATTTACTTGGTTCATAAGTTGTTTGCTCTATAATTCAGAAAGAATGTCACTCGGTTGGCGATATATCTTGTCAAGCTCAGATTAGCAAAACAGGCAGTAGTCTTGGTTTCTTACCAAATAACTAAATAATAACCTAACCAAATCTACTATGATTTAAATTAAATTTTCTATATCCTACTTATGTTTTTAAAGTTTATAACAGTCAGGCACTCTTTAAATATCAAAGCATGAGCTCCTTCCCAAAAAACAAACAAACATTTATTGCAAACAATCTTACAGGTGCAATTAGGTGTCTGTCTTCACTATTTTAATATTTAAAACTGTAAGCATTTGAGAGGCATGGTGAGCATATCCATGAATTCCTGAAATTATATGTGAAGCTATAGATATGATGCATTTTTCTTGGGAGAGGAGTCACAATTTTGTTTCCATGGCCAAGGTTTCTATGGTCCCCAAAACTTAATACTAAGTACCCTGGAGGAATTTTTTTCTTCACCTTTGGTTCTTCTAGCTTTCTTCTTATATTTACTTGGAGTTCCAGTTGTACTCTTTTCCAATCTTGTTTCCTCTACATTGCAAGATCAAGAATTTCCAAGAAAGCAAATGAAATGCTCTTGCCTTTTGCATTCATTCTCTGTCTTGGATTGTCTGATACAAAATCTTTGAAGACAAAACATAAAATCTTTGAAGAGTTACATACTTGGGGCATAGTGACATAAACACTTCTGAGCAATGTGTTCTCTGTATAAAAGAAGTTAACCTCTAAACCCTTCACCTTTGAAGTGAGAACTGCTGCTGGGTTGATGGGCACATACAACTGAACATATGTATACACTTTACTTTGGCCTTCCATACAAAGTGCTAAAAGAAAAGGTTATTTAAATTGACATCAATGCCCCGATGAAAACAGGTCATTTGACATAAGCACTTTTTTTTAAAAACCTACATCACTATTTCTCACTTCGTTTTTGAAAATTGTAGTACTTGAAGTTCTTGTACATATATGTCTTCCAGTTACAACACAGACATGTTCCTCTAAGTTTGTGATTACCTGCTCAATTCACTTAAATAGGTGAAACCAACTTCTAATAATATAATGCCTAAAATAAAAATACATTAAAAAGATTCATTGAGGGTCAATGAAACTAATTTAGAAAAGAATATTTTGAAAACCTTTTATACCATTTTAATGCTAAACAAACTTAATTAGTTAATTAAATCTAAAATAAAAAGAGTCTAAGTGAATTGTTAGGGGTATATCTCTTATAGTCCCTATATGAATGTATAAACATAATTGGACCATTTAAACCTAAATTTCAAATAAAATTGTAAGACTTTTCTGAATATATCTAGAAGTTAATAGAAAATAAAATAAGCATTACTTACCTCTTAAAGTGGATATATTTCNTTTGACATAACCACTTTCTTTTAAACCTACATCACTATTTCTCACTTCGTTTTTGAAAATTGTAGCACTTGAAGTTCTTGTACATATATGTCTTCCAATTACAACACAGACATGTTCCTCTAAGTTTGTGATTACCTGCTCAATTCACTTAAATAGGTCAAACCAACTTCTAATAACATATGCCTAAAATAAAAATACATTAAAAAGATTCATTGAAGGTCAATGAAACTGATTTAGAAAAGAATATTTTGAAAACCTTTTATACCATTTTAATGCTAAACAAACTTAATTAGTTAATTAAATCTAAAATAAAAAGATTCTAAGTGAATTGTTAGGGGTATATCTCTTATAGTCCCTATATGAATGTATAAACATAATTGGACCATTTAAACCTAAATTTCAAATAAAATTGTAAGACTTTTCTGAATATATCTAGAAGTTAATAGAAAATAAAATAAGCACTACTTACCTCTTAAAGTGGATATATTTCTGTTGGGAAAATAAGCGTTGAAATATGTTTTTAAGGTACTATTTTCATTTAATATTTTATAGTACTTTCAGTCCACTTTATTCTATCCAGTAAAGAAACCTACTAATAGTTGATTTAATGATATCAGCCGAAAAGCTAAAGAAGTAATGTAAAATAAAATAAAATCTCCAACAAAGAGTAGCGTTTGTTTTGTCTGGCATACCTAGTGGGTGCAGTAACATCTGAGGACTCTGAGCGCCGCTGTTCACCTACTAGGAGAGAGACGCAGCCCGCGCTCCAGCCGGATTCTCAGGGCTGCAACTACACCAAAGCGTCCCCGTTCCTACAAAGCGGCTCCGGGGCTGCAGCGACACTCACTCCAGAATTTAAGGTGCTCAGACTACAGAGACTCCTTGCTGCCGGAGAAAGAAAAACGAACCGGTCAAAACACGCAACGTGCCCAGCGAGGACTTTGCCAGGATTCCGTGACGAGACAACAATGGCCGCTCAGAGGAACAGCTGGGACCGCGGCGCGCTGGCTCTGCTCTGCCTTTTCCTCGGTGTGCCCTGGGAGGCTGGGGCCCGGCAGATCCGCTACTCGGTGCCTGAGGAGCTGGACAAAGGCTCCTTCGTGGGCAACATCTCCAAGGACCTGGGGCTGGAGCCCCGGGAGCTGGCGGAGCGCGGAGTCCGCATCGTCTCCAGGAGCAGGACGCAGCTCTTCGCTCTGAGCGCGCGGAGCGGCAGCCTGGTGACCGCGGGCAGGATCGACCGGGAGGAGCTCTGCGCCCAGAGCGCGCGCTGCCTGGTGAGTTTTAACGTTCTTGTGGAAAACAGGGTGAAACTTTTCGGGATAGAAGTAGAAGTAACTGATATCAACGATAATGCCCCCAAATTCCAAGCAGAAAATCTAGACGTAAAAATTAATGAAAATGTCGCTCCGGGAATGCGCTTCCCTCTCCCGGAAGCCGTGGACCCGGATGTGGGCGTGAACTCCCTACAGAGCTACAGGCTCAGCCCCAATAGGCACTTCTCGCTGGCAGTGCAGAGCCGCGCCAGTGGCGTCAAGTACCCGGAGCTGGTGCTGGAGAGCGCCCTGGATCGCGAGGAAGAGGCACAGCACCAGCTGGTCCTCACTGCCTCCGACGGGGGCGACCCTCTCCGCTCTGGCACTGTCCTCATCAGTGTCACTGTCTTCGATGCAAATGACAACGCACCTGTCTTCACCTTGCCCGAATACCGAGTGAGTGTTCCGGAGAACTTGCCTGTGGGCACACAGCTGCTGACAGTCACTGCCACCGACAGGGACGAAGGAACCAATGGAGAAGTGACATATTCATTCCGAAAACTACCTGATACACAATTGCTGAAATTCCAACTAAACAAAAATACCGGAGAAATAAAAATATCAGAAAATCTAGATTATGAAGAGACAGGTTTCTATGAAATAGAAATACAAGCAGAAGATGGAGGAGCATATCTTGCAACTGCAAAAGTGTTGATTACAGTAGAAGATGTAAATGACAACAGTCCAGAAGTGACCATCACATCTCTGTTTAGTCCCCTAAAGGAAGATTCACCTCTGGGGACTGTTGTAGCTCTTTTAAACGTGCATGATCTAGACTCTGGGCAGAATGGACAGGTCACCTGTTCCATATCAGGAAATCTACCGTTTAAGCTAGAAAAGTCCATTGACAGTTATTATAGATTGGTGACATACCAGGCTCTTGACAGGGAACAGGTATCCTCTTACAATATTACTGTAACAGCAACAGACGGAGGAAGTCCACCCCGATCAACAGAAACTCACTTCACCCTGCAAGTGGCAGATATCAATGACAACCCACCCACCTTCTCTCACATATCCTATTTTACCTATATCCCAGAGAACAACCCAAGAGGTGCCTCCATCTTCTCTGTGACTGCACTAGACCCAGACAGCAAAGAGAATGCTCAGGTTATTTACTCCCTCACTGAAGACACCATCCAGGGGGCACCTCTGTCCTCCTATGTCTCCATTAACTCTGACACCGGAGTCCTGTATGCACTTCGATCCTTCGACTATGAGCAGTTTCGTGACCTACAGATGCAGGTGACGGCGACTGATAGTGGGGACCCACCACTCAGCAGCAATGTGTCACTGAGTCTGTTTGTGCTGGACCAGAATGACAATGCTCCAGAGATCCTGTACCCCTCGCTCCCCACAGATGGCTCCACTGGTGTGGAGCTGGCACCCCGCTCTGCAGAACCCGGATACCTGGTGACCAAGGTGGTGGCAGTAGACAGAGACTCAGGCCAGAACGCCTGGCTGTCCTACCGCCTGCTCAAGGCCAGCGAGCCAGGGCTCTTTGCGGTGGGGCTGCACACGGGCGAGGTGCGCACTGCGCGGGCGCTGCTGGACAGAGACGCGCTCAAGCAGAGCCTGGTGGTGGTGGTCCAAGACCATGGCCAGCCTCCTCTCTCGGCCACTGTCACGCTCACTGTGGCCGTGGCTGACAGCATCCCAGATGTTCTGGCCGACCTGGGAAATCTTGAGCCCTCCACCAACCCTGNAGCCCTCCGCCAACCCTTATGACTCTAGCCTCACGCTGTACCTGGTGGTGGCAGTGGCTGCTGTCTCCTGTGTCTTTCTCGCCTTTGTCATTGTGTTGCTGGCACTCAGACTGCGGCGTTGGCACAAGTCACGCCTACTCCAGGCTTCAGGAGGCGGGTTGGTGGGTGTGCCCGCCTCGCNGTCATTGTGTTGCTGGCACTCAGACTGCGGCGTTGGCACAAGTCACGCCTACTCCAGGCTTCAGGAGGCGGGTTGGTGGGCGTGCCCGCCTCGCACTTTGTGGGCGTGGACGGGGTGCGGGCTTTCCTGCAGACCTATTCCCACGAGGTCTCCCTCACCGCGGACTCGAGGAAGAGCCACCTGATTTTTNGAGGTCTCCCTCACTGCGGACTCGAGGAAGAGCCACCTGATTTTTCCGCAGCCCAACTACGCAGACACGCTCATCAGCCAGGAGAGCTGTGAGAAAAAGGATCCTTTGTGNAGAGCCACCTGATTTTTCCGCAGCCCAACTACGCGGACACGCTCATCAGCCAGGAGAGCTGTGAGAAAAAGGATCCTTTGTCTTTGTTAGATGATTCGAAGTTTCCCATAGAAGATACCCCTTTGGTTCCAGTGAGTTCTAGTTTTACTCCTTTCCTTTAATTTAAAAAATTATGATTGGCTTTGTTTTTAAGTTTGCAGCATGGTGATGGGAATTTTTAATCTTTATTCTTTCACTTTTTCCTTGTTTAATTTGCTTCTTGCTAAAATATTCCAGAGTATAACTTGTCAGTTATTAAGACTGATATGTCTTTACTTTCTCTGGTAAGTATTTATGTAATGGCAATGAAGGTCTATTGTCATAAGGTTGTTACGATTAGCTTTGCAGAACCTTATATTTTATAGTTTTGTGTGCTGTCCTTTGGCCACATGCTGAAATCTTAGCTCTGGTTTTAAAGGCAGGTCTGGTAAACATAGGTAAGGGTCAGAACAAATGCATTAGCATCACTGGGAACATAAACACAAGGTCACTCAGTGTTGGTCTTCCCAAGGAGAAGGGCAGAAGTACACCTTTGTGGTTATATTTTTCAAACTATACCTTGTAATGACAAGTTGCAGTTGAATTTACTTCCTAGCGATTTAAAATTGTCATCAATATTCTATAAGAAGTTATAAACAATGTGTGCTTAAATTTTTCCAAGTGCAGTCATACCTAGTAACACTGCAGCATTCTTCTTGCCTGTGATTCTAATTTCATACTGTTGTGGGAAGACATAGCATTTTCATTTTACGTTTCCTTGCTGAATCGGGTTTCTAGAGGACGTATAGAAGGTTGAACTAAGCAGATTTTATGTTCTGCTCTCTCTGTATTTTTTGTTAAACTCTCCAATCTATGAGGCTGAAAAAAATACAGATTGGGGAGACAGATTTGTACATGTTCCCAAGAACAGGAGCAAGGGATTTGTGCCAAGAGTGTTTCAGTGGCTCCTTAATGTAGTGGAAGAAAGATCCACCTGAAACTCTGAAAACTCTGAAGTTGAGTCAAAATAAACTTTAAGTCAAGAAAGAAATGTTATTTCTGCAGGATATCTTATCCGAATATAAGCGGAGAAGTACACAAAATTATTCTAAACAAGTTATCAGTGGAGTCACTGCTGAACCCAAATAGGATGGTTTGATCTCTTACTATTATTTCTAATACTCTTCTAAATTAATATGGTAGCATAAAGGCAAAGAGTGCCCTAATGTGTCTCAAAATACTTATGAGAACATTACTTTTTTCATGTTATTCAACATTTGTTCAATGATAAGTTTGTGGAAGGAGAACACACCCTTTAGGGTCATAGTTATTAACTTTTAAATCATTGAAACTGTCACTTAAAATTTCTGTCCATAAGAGTAAAAATTAGTATGCATCCATCTCAATTCTTTTATTTTGAAAAATACAGTTTTAAAAATAACTACTCTGACATGGTAGCTATTATAAGCAAATGTTTTTAAAGATATAATTACTTTAAAGCAACACAGGACACCTTTAAGTATTGTAATCAATATGGCAATGGTTGCATCTCTAGTTCCTAAATATGGGGGGATGGATCAGTACTTTCTAGCCAAATGTAAGGTAGGACTGAAGACAAAAAAAGGTTTTTGCATCTCTTCAGTATTTCCCTTTGCGGATAATTACTCTTAAAAGGGAAAGCAATGATTGCCTTTGGAACGGAAGAACTGGGTAGCAGTGGACCATGGGATAGAGACCTACTTTTCACTTCATAGTCTTTCATGCCTTTTTGACTTTCGAAAGAAATACTTTTATCCATTCAAATATATGTAAATTTTTAAAATATATAAAGATATAGTTTTGACCATGTGAAAAATATGTTTCATGATAAAAACGGGATCACTGAGGAGTAAGATTCGAATATTTTAGCTGTTACCTTGGCATTCAAAGAGAAAGATTTTCTGAAATGGAGAAAAACGGCTGCGGTTCCACAGGAGGCCTCTGGGCGCCGCTGTCGGCCAGTGCAGGGCAAGCGCAGGCGCCCGGGATCCTTCAGCCCCTAGCCTGGGATTTTCCTGCGCAGCCACCCGCACAGTCGCGGAAGGAAACCGTCTTACACACTAGGGCTCCCGGCTGCGCGGACTCTCCCAGCACGAGCGGATTCCCAGCCCCTAGACTGGGGACTCCGCCTGTCCTGGGCTGAATGCTCTTCCAGTGCGATTGTGTGCACTTTCTCCAACTGGAAAGACCCAGCGAGAACTCGAGCGCGCAATGGGAGGGAGCTGCGCACGGAGCCGCGGGGCTGGCCGGCTGCAGGTACTGTTTCCATTCCTGCTGCCTTTGTTCTACCGCGCGCTCTGCGAGCCCATCCGCTACGCGATTCCCGAGGAGCTGGCCAAGGGCTCGGTGGTGGGGAGCCTCGCCAAGGATCTAGGGCTCAGTGTCCTGGATGTGTCCTCTCGGAAGCTGCGAGTTAGCGCGGAGCAGCTGCTTTTCAGTATAGACGCGGAGAGCGGGGACTTACTGGTGAAGGACCGGATAGACCGTGAGCAGATTTGCAAAGAGCGAAGAAGATGTGAGTTGCAGTTGGAAGCTGTGGTGGAAAATCCCTTAAATATTTTTCATATCATTGTGGTTGTTGAGGATATTAATGACCATGCCCCTCAATTCGATAAAAAGGACATACATTTAGAAATTCTTGAATCTGCATCCGTAGGTGCACGAATATCCCTTGACCCTGCCACTGACCCCGACATAAACATGAACTCCATTAAAGATTATCAGTTAAATCCTAACCCTTATTTCAAGTTAATGGTTAGAGTTAATTCCGATGGTGGCAAATACCCAGAGTTATCTTTGGAGAAACCCCTGGACCGGGAGGAGCAGCGGTCTCATCACTTGATATTGACCGCCTTGGACGGAGGGGAACCCCCACGAAGCGCCACGGTTAGAATAGAAATTTTCGTCAAAGACACCAATGATAACCCCCCTGTGTTCAGCAAAGAGGAATATAGAGTCAGTGTAAGTGAAAATCTGTCCCCTGGGTCCTCCGTGTTGCAAGTGACAGCCACGGATCAGGACGAGGGCGTCAACGCGGAAATAAACTACTACTTCAGGAGCACTGCTCAGAGTACGAGGCACATGTTCTCACTGGATGAGAAAACGGGCATCATTACGAATAGCCAGTCATTGGATTTTGAGGATATGGAAAGATATACCATGGAAGTGGAAGCAAAGGACGGAGGTGGTCTCTCTTCCCAATGTAAAGTAATCATAGAAATCCTAGACGAAAACGACAACAGCCCAGAAATCATCATCACTTCTCTCTCTGATGAGATTTTGGAGGATTCCAGTCCAGGATTGGTTGTGGCCCTCTTCAAAACACGGGACCCGGATTTCGGAGGAAATGGAGAAGTCACATGTAATATACAAAGAGATGTACCTTTCAAGATTTACTCTTCTTCTAATAATTACTACAAACTGGTGACAGATGGGGCCTTAGATAGAGAACAGACCCCAGAGTACAACGTCACCATCACAGCCACCGACAGGGGCAAGCCGCCCCTCTCCTCCAGCACCACCGTCACCCTGCACATCACCGACGTCAACGACAACGCGCCGATTTTCCAACAGTCAGCCTACCTGGTCCACGTGCCAGAAAACAACCCGCCCGGGGTCTCCATAGCCCAAGTCAGCGCCTCCGACCCCGACCTGGGACCTAACGGCCAGGTGTCCTACTCCATCGTGGCCAGCGACCTGGAGCCCCGGGCGCTGTCGTCCTACGTGTCGGTGAGCGCGCAGAGCGGCGTGGTGTTCGCGCAGCGCGCCTTCGACCACGAGCAGCTGCGCGCCTTCGAGCTGACGCTGCAGGCCCGCGACCAGGGCTCGCCCGCACTCAGCGCCAACGTGAGCCTGCGCGTGCTGGTGGGCGACCGCAACGACAACGCGCCGCGGGTGCTGTACCCCGCGCTGGGGCCCGACGGCTCTGCGCTCTTCGACACGGTGCCGCGCGCCGCGCAGCCAGGCTACCTGGTCACCAAGGTGGTGGCGGTGGACGCTGACTCTGGACACAACGCCTGGCTGTCCTACCACGTGCTGCAGGCGAGCGAGCCGGGGCTGTTCAGCCTGGGGCTGCGCACGGGCGAGGTGCGCACGGCCAGAGCTTTGGGCGACAGGGACGCTGCCCGCCAGCGCCTGCTGGTCGCTGTGCGTGATGGGGGACAGCCGCCCCTCTCGGCCACCGCCACGCTGCTCCTGGTCTTCGCTGACAGCCTACAAGAAGCATTGCCCGACCTCAGCGACTACCCCACGCCATCTGACCCCCAGGCCGAGCTGCAATTTTATCTGGTGGTANTCCTGGTCTTCGCTGACAGCCTACAAGAAGCATTGCCCGACCTCAGCGACCACCCCACGCCATCTGACCCCCAGGCCGAGCTGCAGTTTTACCTGGTGGTAGCCTTGGCCTTGATCTCCGTGCTCTTCCTCCTCGCGGTGATCCTAGCCATTGCTCTGCGCCTTCGAAGCTCTTCCAGCCCTACCACTGGGGCCTGCTTTGGGTCTGCTCTCTGCTCCAAATCTAGACCAGAGATTCCCCCCAACTACAGCGAGGGGACTTTGCCTTATGCCTATAATCTGTGTGTGCCTGGGGATCAAACTAACCAGGAATTTAATTATCTCACATCTGCGGACCATTGTCCAGCCAAACAAGATACTCTCAACAAAGATAGCTCTTTAGCGCTATTGGCTAGCATTCTAACTCCTAGTGTTGAAGCAAATAAGAAGACTTTTAAACAGGTAAGTAGTTAAAATAATGCTTTTTGTAGTCCAATATGCCAATATATATCAATATAGTGCTTTTATTTCAAGATCCTAGGTTCAATCTCTTGATAGAGTTTCTAGAATAAACCTTTGGTTAGATCTATGGGTATCACTGTTAAGACTAAAGTTTACAATGCTGGGATCTTAATAGTCAAATGCATTTTAAGGTAAATGGAGAAGTCTCAGATGAAATATTTATGAAATAGAATACCTTCTATTTAAGGATGTGGAATACAGGTATACTTTATATCATGGCATTTTAAATAACCCTAATGTAATCCAAACTTTCTCAAACGGTTCATCTTTATTTTTCTCAATAAAGAAACATTGGTAAGCATTATAATCATGCATCCCATCTGATGATTTTGTTAGGACCATGCCAGCTCCTCATTCACAAATTCTGTTCGCTTCAGTTGGTAAAAGTTAATAGGAATCAAATCTAACCTGCAAGTTTTCAGTTCTAGTAATATTTGAAAACTTTTTTTAAAAACATAATTACTCTTTCCAAAAGTGCTCNCATAACTACTCTTTCCAAAAGTGCTGTTGGTAAACTTTTAACATCACATTATATAACTCTTTGTTGTCGGCAATTTAAGTTTTACATATGCTTTGCGAAGGATTCTCGAAGAGGTGGGTGTATTAACTTAGGAAACTGGTACGTTCGTTGGGTTTTCTTACTCGTTGCAATAATAAGTTTGGACTCTAGGCGCCGCTGTTCACCAACCAGGGGCTGGGAAGCTGCGAGCTACAGTCGCTCCCTCCCCCTACCTCTGTAACACAAAGCCGAGTGGGATAGATACTCACAGATTCTGGTGCTGGAAACTTAAAAGTACGGACTTCTCTTCGCTCTCTAATGATATTCTGGATGCAGTCGGCCCGGGACTTCGTAGATACATAGGCTGAGTCAGGACAAACCGGCTCAAGAAACCGCGGAATTTCGGCTCAGCCACTGCCATGGCGAAGCAGCTATTACGCCTGGACCGCAGCGGGCTGGTCCTACTGTACATTTTCCTGGGGACGCTGCGGGAATTTGGGGCCGGACAGATCCGATACTCGGTGCCAGAAGAGACAGACAAAGGCTTCTTCGTGGGCAATATTTCCAAGGACCTGGGGCTGGAGCCCTGGGAGCTGGCGGAGCGCCGCGTCCGCATCGTCTCCAGAGGAAAGACGCAGCTTTTCGCTCTGCATCCGCGAAGTGGCAGCTTGGTCACCGCAGGTAGGATAGATCGGGAGGAGCTCTGTGAGACGAGGTCCGCCTGTTTCTTAAATATGGAGATACTTGTGGAAGATACCCTGAAGATTTACGGAGTGGAAGTGGAGATAACGGATATTAATGATAATGCCCCCAGCTTCCAGGAGGGGGAAGTAGAGATAAAAGTCGGTGAGCACGCGACTCCCGGGTCGCGATTTCCCCTTCCTAACGCTAGGGATCCAGATGTAGGAAGGAATTCCCTTCAGGGCTACCAACTCAACCCCAATAGTTACTTTTCCTTGCAAGTTGGAGGCAGAACTGATGGGGCCAAAAATCCTGAGCTCGTGCTGGAGGGGAACCTGGACCGGGAGAGGGAGGCTGCTCACCTACTGCTCCTCACAGCCTCGGATGGGGGGGACCCCATCCGCCAGGGCACGGTTCCCATTCGCGTGGTGGTCCTCGACGTGAATGACCATGTCCCAAAGTTTACTCAGCCTGTTTATCGCGCGAGTGTTCCCGAGAGCCTCAGCTCTGGATCTCCGGTGCTCATGGTAAATGCAACTGATCCAGATGAGGGAACCAACGGGGAAGTGGTGTATTCATTCCGGAACACGGAAAGGAAAGCTTCTGAAGTATTCCGGTTGGATCCTCGAACTGGAGAAGTCTCCATTCAGGGGCCTCTGGATTTTGAGAAATACAGGTTCTATGAGATGGAAATTCAAGGCCAAGATGGTGGGGGTCTCTGGACCACAGCTAAGGTGTTGATCACAGTTGTGGATGTGAACGATAATGCTCCAGAGATAACTATCATGTCTTCTGCTAACTCGGTGCTGGAAAACTCCCCTCCAGGTACAGTAATTGCTCTTCTAAATGTGCAGGATCAAGACTCTGGAGAAAATGGCCAAGTCTCTTGTTTCATTCCTAATAATCTGCCTTTTAATTTAGAAAAGACTTATGGAAATTATTACAAGTTGATAACAAACAGAGCGCTGGACAGAGAGCAGGTCCAGAGCTACAATATAACAGTGACAGCTACAGATCGGGGAAGTCCACGCTTGTCTACACAAGCTCAGGTTTCATTGAATGTAGCAGATGACAACGATAACCCTCCCACTTTCTCTCACTCCTCTTACTCCGCCTACATTCCTGAAAACAACCCCAGAGGGGCCTCCTTGTTCTCAGTGACCGCACTTGATTGGGACAGTGAAGAAAACGCTAGGGTCACTTACTCCCTGGTCCAGGACACCATCCAGGGAGCTCCCCTGTCCTCCTACATCTCCATCAACTCAGACACCGGCGTCCTGTATGCGCTGTGCTCCTTTGACTATGAGCAGTTCCGAGACCTGCAGCTACAAGTGATAGCACAGGACAGTGGGGACCCTCCACTAAGCAGCAACATGTCCCTGAGCATATTTGTGCTGGACCAAAACGACAACGCACCAGAGATCCTGTACCCCGCACTCCCCACTGATGGCTCCACCGGCGTGGAGCTGGCGCCCCGCTCCGCAGAGCCCGGCTATCTGGTGACCAAGGTGGTGGCGGTGGACAGAGACTCAGGCCAGAACGCCTGGCTGTCCTACCGCCTGCTCAAGGCCAGCGAGCCGGGGCTCTTCGCGGTGGGGCTGCACACGGGCGAGGTGCGCACTGCGCGGGCGCTGCTGGACAGAGACGCGCTCAAGCAGAGCCTGGTGGTGGCCGTCCAAGACCACGGCCAGCCCCCTCTCTCGGCCACCGTCACACTCACTGTGGCTGTAGCCGACAGCATCCCAGAGGTCCTGGCCGACCTAGGCAGCCTGGAGTCTCCCACCAACCCCAATGATTCAGGCCTCACGCTGTACCTGGTGGTGGCAGTGGCCGCGGTCTCCTGCGTCTTTCTCGCCTTTGTCATCGTGCTGCTGGCGCTCAGGCTGAGGCGCTGGCACACATCGCGCCTGCTCCAGGCTTCGGGAGGCGGGTTGGTGGGCGTGCCCGCCTCGCACTTCGTGGGCGTGGATGGGGTGCGGGCTTTCCTGCAGACCTATTCCCACGAGGTCTCCCTCACCGCGGACTCGCGGCAGAGCCACCTGATCTTCCCGCAGCCCAACTACGCGGACACGCTCATCAGCCAGGAGAGCTGTGAGAAAAGCGAGCCTCTCTTGATAGTTGAAGATTCAGTTACCGGTTTAGGCAAATGTAACCCTACAAGTAATCAGGTGAGATTTTTTTTTTTCCTGCCTCCCAAATACTAGTGTCTCTGCACAAGTCTATTAAGTGGGGTTTTTTTGGGTAAACCTATTATAAAAACTGCTGGGGGGAGGAGTGCATGTTCAGTTCATACAGACTTACAGCAATGCACGTGAGTTTGTGTATTTTACCTTTAATCAGGTTACNCTGCTGGGGGGAGGAGTGCATGTTCAGTTCATACAGACTTACAGCAATGCACGTGAGTTTATGTATTTTACCTTTAATCAGATTACTATCATTTTTCAGAAAGGTTTTGTGAAAGTGGGTTTTATTATTATTATTATTATTCCTGGTATATTTTCTTTTTAATCCAAAGGTCCAGCTTGCTTTATAATAAGTTGAATTTTAATAATGTTTTTCTATCGGTGTCTGTGGCTATCAGTGTAAACTGGTTATGATTCACAAACACTATTTATTTCCCTATTTTAACTTCGCATTGCCTCCATGATTCTGACTATATTCTACCATTGTTTACTTCACTCCTACTGCTCAGATTTGACCCTGCTGATGGAATAGCCTACTCTCTCTGGTATGGGAGACTCATATCTATCACTACATGGTCACACATAGGTCCACATTTACACATGTAAGCTTTTCTCTGAGCACAAAACAATTATATTTTCATTTCTGATGGCTGGTGATATGCTTAGATCCTGTTGATTATTTCAACTTTGTCTCATTTACTTATTCCACCAAAACAGACATGTTGACTGCCTTTTAATTACTAGACTCCCCTGTGAGAGGAAACATGGGACACATTTTTTTTCTTTTGTTCTAGACGTGTTTTCTGTTTCTACAGTGAAGTCACTAGATGATTCTGAAGAAATAATTATTGAGCTGGTATAACTCCCTTTTACTCTTTTACTTGTACTTTAGTGTGTGTGTTCAGGATTTTTAAAAATGTAAAGTCACAGAAAGACTTAATTTAGATCCAGTGCTTCTCAAAAAGTTACTTTCAAATCTGTTCAACCTGTTTATGTTTTTCAGATTTATTCATATGGAATAGCGTGTGACTATATGAGAGGGAATGGGTATTTAGACTTTACCAGAGACTGACTTAACTGGTGTCCCTGTGGATATTTTTGTTTGTTTTCATTATGCCAATGAGTCGTGGATTCCCTCTTTATTTCCTTCTTAAACTCATTTTGTATTATATATAAGTATACTCAATTCTTATATTTATAACCAACTCATTATTGAGGCCCTAAGAGTTGCCTACTAACCCACATGTTATCTGAAGCAAGGTCTAGGAAAGTCAGGTGAGGAGAGGAGCCCTATCTAGGCTATATGATCACAGGACTCATCTCCGTAATCAATTCAGCTCCTCACTCTCGCACCACTTCTAGATGTTTGGTCCAAATTCCTTGAACAGTCATGTTCCCTTCAAGTTTTCCTTCCTCATTTAGGAATTGGCCTTGATGTAATTAACTGTACACAGAGTATCTAATGTTTGGGCGACAAGAATTGCAACTGTAGGAGAGGGAAGTCTTGCAACAGATGCCTGAATTTGCCTTGAAGTCAAGAAAATGCTGGTGTGCTCCAAGCATCTAAGGATAGAATTATGCTTATGGAATTCCAAACTGAAAAAAGATTTAACGCGTTTTACTTAAACTGAAATTAGATGAATAAGAAGGATATGAGGTGTTTTGCTGGGAGAGGGAGGTGCTCCATATTTTTGAAAATGTGGTCTAAACTAGTTAGGAGCTGGCAACCAAGATCTTGGAAAATACAAAGAAAAGGTTGGCTTTGAAACTTGAGATTAAGAAGGTTATTTTGACTCAGAGGTAGTAATAACAGTTCTGTGAAGGCGCAACATATGGTCCAATTAAATAAAAGGACAGAAATAAAACACCCTCACATTNTGACTCAGAGGTAGTAATAACAGTTCTGTGAAGGCGCAACATATGGTCCAATTAAATAAAAGGACAGAAATAAAACACCCTCTCATGTCATTAAATTCCTGTGGTAACATACTAGGGTATACTTTTATATTGCTTACGATGTAAGGGTAAAACCATAATCCCTTCCATAAATTCTCTTTTGTAAGTAACAAGGAAGACTTGATGGCATTGGCCATCTTTATCCTGAGAACACTCTGTATAGCTTTGAGCTCTCCTCCTGTTTCCTCTGATAAATGGAGGAGGGAAATTCGTACATAAGACTGATTCTAATCCTAGGTGTCATTTCATGGCTGTCGCAATTCCCCCACACCACTTGGTGGGGCTATTTTTGCACGTGGTCTTTGTTCTAAGTCCGGAGAGAAGACTTTGCTTTGCTCTTCCAGTATCTGCACTGCCTCTGGCTAGAAAAAGACACACTGTTCTCATTCGTGGGTTTATGGCTCTTCTATAGGATCCCATCTCTAAGGAACTTGCTTTGGTAGTAAACACGGGAAAACAGACACATCCAAAATTCACAAATTGCCTCCTTTCCTAGACATCAGTACAACATAGTNCTCCTTTCCTAGACATCAGTCCAGCATAGTTGTCGGAATGCCGAATCCCATTGTTTGCAAGGCTTCTGCCTGCAGTTTTCTAAACAGGCTCTGAGCGCCGCTGTTGGCCAATGTGCTGCGAGAGCTGGAGTCCAGGATCCGCAGGGCGCTTTCCGCGCAGTCACAAAAGCAAGTAGAGAGAAGAGAGGGGCCCGGACACCGGCGCACTGCTCGGCAAATCTGATCCCGGAACACCGACTGGGATGCCTTCACACTGGGAGCCTTGAGTTTTCTACGCGGTGGAAGTAGATATTTTAAACACAGTTTGTAAAGACAGCGTCTTCTCAACGCCGGAGGCTGCAGCTGGGCCCAGAAGGATGGGAAATAGGGCGAAGCTGACGAGCAGTGCCCGGCGGCGGCGGCAAGTACTCTTTCCCTTCCTGCTGCCTTTGTTCTGCGGGGCGCTCTCGGAGCAGATCCGCTACTCGGTTCCGGAAGAAATGGGCAGGGGCTCTGTAGTGGGGAACCTCGCTAAGGACCTGGGGCTGCGCGTACGGGATTTATTGACCCGCAACCTCAGAGTTGGTGCCGAGAAACAATACTTTACCATAAACACGGAGAATGGGAATTTACTTGTGAGCGACAGGATAGATCGGGAATCGCTCTGCCCTCAAAACCCTGTGTGTGTCGTGCCCTTAGAGATCGTAGCAGAGAACCCTCTAAATGTTTTTCACATAAACGTGGTGATAGAAGATATAAATGACAATTCACCTCACTTCCCCTCAAATAGCATTGTTTTACAAATCAACGAATTTGCAATTCCAGGAACTAGGTTTGTCTTGGAATCTGCTATAGATGCAGATGTAGGGCCTAATTCTCTCCAGAGTTACCAACTCAGCTATAATGAGCACTTCACTCTGATGATGAACGATAAGCTTGAAGGCAAGAATGCCCCTGAATTAATGTTAGAGAAGCCCCTGGACCGGGAACAACAGAGCTCCCATCTCCTGGTCCTGACAGCAGTAGATGGGGGTGACCCAGTCCGAACTGGCACCACTCAAATCAGGGTGGAGGTCACTGACGCCAACGACAACCCCCCAGTGTTCAGTCAGGATGTGTACAAAGTTAGCCTGCGAGAGAACTTGCCCTCAGGCACCTCTGTGCTAAAGGTGAGCGCCACCGACCTAGATGAGGGCATCAATGCGGAGATCACCTACTCCTTCAAAACACTGGGAGATGTTGGAAATATGTTTATGCTAGACCATCAAAGTGGAGAAATTAAATCCAAAGACCCTATGGACTTCGAAATCAGTAGCAGTTATACCATAATCATAGAAGCCAAGGACGGTGGAGGCATGACCACGGAATGCAAGATTATACTAGAAATTCTAGATGAGAATGACAACGCTCCAGAGGTGGTGTTCACTTCGGTGTCTAGTTCCATAACCGAGGACTCAGAGCCCGGGACGGTGATTGCTTTGTTCAAAACACATGATAAAGATTCCGGAGAAAACGGGGAGGTCACATGCCTCATAAAAGAGAAAGTGCCTTTTAGAATTCAGTCTTCCGCCAGTAATTACTACAAGCTTGTAACAGATGCAGCCCTGGACCGGGAACAGACCCCAGAGTACAATGTCACCATCACAGCCACTGACAGGGGCAAACCGCCCCTCTCCTCCAGCAGAAGCGTCACCCTACACATCCGGGACGTCAATGACAACGCTCCGGTTTTCCAACAGTCAGCCTACCTAGTCCACGTGCCAGAAAACAACCCGCCCGGGGTGTCCATTGCCCAAGTCAGGNTCCAACAGTCAGCCTACCTAGTCCACGTGCCAGAAAACAACCCGCCCGGGATGTCCATTGCCCAAGTCAGGGCCTCCGACCCCGACCTGGGACCCAACGGCCAGGTGGCCTACTCCATCGTGGCCAGCGACCTGGAGCCCCGGGCGCTGTCGTCCTACGTGTCGGTGAGCGCGCAGAGCGGCGTGGTGTTCGCGCAGCGCGCCTTCGACCACGAGCAGCTGCGCGCCTTCGAGCTGACGCTGCAGGCCCGCGACCAGGGCTCGCCCGCACTCAGCGCCAACGTGAGCCTGCGCGTGCTGGTGGGCGACCGCAACGACAACGCGCCGCGGGTGCTGTACCCCGCGCTGGGGCCCGACGGCTCTGCGCTCTTCGACACGGTGCCGCGCGCCGCGCAGCCAGGCTACCTGGTCACCAAGGTGGTGGCGGTGGACGCTGACTCTGGACACAACGCCTGGCTGTCCTACCACGTGCTGCAGGCGAGCGAGCCGGGGCTGTTCAGCCTGGGGCTGCGCACGGGCGAGGTGCGCACGGCCAGAGCTTTGGGCGACAGGGACGCTGCCCGCCAGCGCCTGTTGGTCGCTGTGCGTGATGGGGGACAGCCGCCCCTCTCGGCCACCGCCACGCTGCACCTGGTCTTTGCGGACAGCCTACAAGAGGCACTGCCAGACCTTAGCGACCACCCCACGCCATCTGACCCCCAGGCAGAGCTGCAGTTTTACCTGGTAGTGGCCTTGGCCTTGATCTCCGTGCTCTTCCTCCTCGCGGTGATTCTGGCCATTGCCTTGCGCCTGCGACGCTCCTCCAGCCCGGGTACCTGGGGCTGCTTTCAGCCTGGTCTTTGTACTAAGACTGGACCAGGGGTTTCTCCCAACTACAACGAGGGAACTTTGCCGTACTCCTACAATCTGTATGTTGCCTCCGATTCTCAGACAACAAGGTTTAATTTTCTCTCTCTGACGCCGGAAACTGCCCCTCCACAGGATCTTTCTAATGAAGCATCTTTGGTAGTAAGTGTCACCGAAGAGAATAGCAAGTTAAGCTCGAACTCTGTTGCTTCTAGTCACGTGAGTTTCAATGAATGCCTTTCATCTGCAAATGGTTGCTTTGATTTTCTTTACTCTCTTAACTACAAAGAGAGGAAATGCATGAGAAAAGGCTTTTTTAAAAAAGGAAAAGTAGTGATCTAATATTCAGGTACATTTGCTAGGGATTCTTTGAATCCCAGTGAGTAGGTCAGATTTATGCCCTACCTTTTCTCAAAGATACCCGTATATTTCTTCCCAGTTTAAAAAATATTATTTTGTGGTTGGCTTGACCAATGTGCTTATCCTCGGAATATAAATATTTACATTCATAAAAGCACAAAAGTGATAATTTTTTTCTATATTCTAATGGGCTTCCTAAGGTATTGCCAATAATTTTAAGTGATTGGAATTAGGTTTGTTACTCAGAAAAAGGTAAGTTTATATTATTCTTTGGATTACTAATTTTCCTGTACATTCTTTTGAAATATAATATGTTAGATTATAGAGCACTACCCTCATTTCCAGTAAATGCAAGTTGGAATGCTTCTATTTTGTTCTAAAAATGTTAAATGTTAATGTGTCTTCTATAAACTTCTGGCGATCCTCATAATGTGTACAATCACATTTCTTATTTTCAGGTTTCCATATTATTGTGAAAACTTGGTTTTTAAATTGAAGTGTCAATAGCTTGTTAAAATGGTTCTTCCATTTAGGCAAATTTAAGACTCTATGAAAAAATTTGCCCGCAATTATAGCTGAGTGAGGAATTTTAAATTATTATATGATTTCTCGACATGGAAAACTCCTAGGGAGATGTCCCATAATAGGTATGTTGGAGGAATATTGGTGATGTCAAAGCCGGTGAACTAAAGTTAAAGATAAAATTACTGTGTATAGAAATTTCAAGTTCATTTAAAAGCTCGTGGGAATATCATAATATGCCTACCGCTACAGAAAATAATCTCAAGAGAGTGGCTCTGTGTGAAAAATTTTAGGGAAATGAAAAGAAGCTCTCTGAAGTTTCGATGAAAACAAATATACTGTAGTTTTAATCGGCTCCACTTCCATCCCTATTTGAAGGACAGTAGGTGGAGCTATTTGAGGTCTAAACACCAAAAATCTTTTCCCGGAGTTCAAGATTGTGCAGTAATTGGTTAGGACTCTGAGCGCCGCTGTTCACCAATCAGGGAGAGAAAAGCAGCGCGATCCTGCTTGCGGTGCACGCGCCTGGAGCACAAAGCACGGATAGAAACTAACCATCTCCTCCCGGGCTGTGAGGAAACTGAACCGAGGAGCTCTGGAGCTCGGGTCCCCCAGCTGACGGATTCTTAAGGACAGGCGTGGCGGTCCTGACCTCGGCGATCAAAGGAAAAATTGGAAATAATCCAGAAAAGTGACGATGATTCCTGCACGACTGCACCGGGACTGCAAAGGGCTGGTCCTGCTGGGAGTTCTCCTGGGGATTCCGTGGGAAACTGGATGCTCCCAAATCCACTATTCAGTTCCTGAGGAGCTGGAAAAAGGCTCCTTCGTGGGCAACGTCGCCAAGGATCTGGGGCTGGAGGCCCGGGAGCTGGCGGAGCGCGGAGTCCGCATCGTCTCCGGAGGTAGGGCGCAACTTTTCGCTCTGAACCCGCGGAGCGGCAGCCTGGTGACCGCGGGCAGGATAGACCGGGAGGAGCTCTGTACCGGGGCCATAAAGTGCCAACTAAATCTGGAGATCCTGATGGAAGATAAAGTGAAAATATACGGGGTGGTGGTAGAAGTGAGGGACATTAATGATAATGCCCCCTACTTCCGGGAAGGTGACTTAGAAATTAAAGTGAGTGAAAACGCAGCCACCGGGATGCGGTTCCCTCTTCCCCACGCTTGGGATCCGGATATCGGGAAGAACTCTCTCCAGAGCTACGAGCTCAGCAACAATACTCACTTCTCCCTGGAGGTGCAGAGCGGCGCGGACGGGAACAAGTACCCGGAGTTGGTGCTGGAGCGCGCCCTGGACCGCGAGGAAAAGGCGGTTCACCGCCTGGTTCTCTGGGCCTCGGACGGCGGCGACCCAGCGCGCAGCGGCACCGCGCACGTCCGCGTGACGGTCGTTGATGTGAACGACAATGCCCCGGCGTTTGCGCAGCCCGAGTACCGCGTGAGCGTCCCGGAGAATGTGGCCGTGGGCGCC